CCAAAATAAAAAATCTAATATATTGTAAATGCTTCTTGCCATGGAACCTGCAGTATACCTTATTTTCTTAATTGTGTCTCATTCTTTACTATTTTTGGATCACCAAATTGTTATAGCAAGGGACTTTCCAGGGCATTATATATATATAAATGTGGCACCATTAAACAAACACAATTATAAAATATATAAAGTTTATTGTACAAATATCAAAAACATACATGGGTACCATGCCATGCAAAAATGGGTCCATATCATGACATAGTGTGACGACTAATACTACAATATAGCTCAGCACATTTCGAATAGAATTATATCTTCATCAGGAGAATATGTGGATGAAATCTTTTGCAGTTAAACCCTGGTTATTAAAAACAAATAGTCTGTAGTGAACTTCAGATCAAGAGGAAAGATGAAAATCATCATTCCCCAGCAGCGGAGCAACAGAGAATAGCACAGAGCCAGAGAGAATCTGGTTCAGCACAAGGGATGCCAATTGGGGAGCTGCCAAACCCCAGAGAAGAGAAGAAAGAATAAGTTCACACCCTCTCAGCTTGTCCCATTTTTTAAAAATGGTAGATCCACAGAATGGATAAATAATTTTGAGAGATATGGTCTCCCCAGTTGTAATCTCAATATCAATCTAACCAAAAAGAAGGAGCATAACATAGTCACACCTCAAAGGGTACTGGGTAATGGAGTTCAGCACATTTCCAAAAAGGGGAGGAAGAACCCATGAAAGTATATTAAATGTCAGAGTAGAGTCTTGTAAAAAAGATTCCTCATAAACTGAGAGTTCAATGTCCGCAATCCCCTGTTGTAGCCCTTGTCACCAGCAGGAAGCACTGCAAGATCTGCTTTAATGATGATGGGGTGTTAGTTGTAAAGTACAGAAATACCTATGATTTTAGATTGTGAATTCTAAAATACAATTAGATAACCTGCTAGAAGCACTAGGACTACAAAAAAGCATTAATCGTGTGATCTGCCAAAGAAGTTTTTTTTCCTGTAATGGATAAAGCAATACTGTAAGTACCAGGGGGGGACTGATAACTCAAGGGGCCCTCGGGCAATAGGGGATCATGGGGCCCCTGTGTCCTTGCCCAAACTCAAAAAAGCCTATGAAAAAGGTACCAGGGGCATCTCATGGGGCCCCCTACTGACCCCGGGCCCTCGGGCAGTGCCCGAGTTTCCAAATGGTCAGTCCGCCCCTGGTAAGTACATTACAACATATGTATGTTTATGTGCATGTAACTTGGGCAATCTTAGTTAAAATGGTCTTCTGTTTGCCCATTTGGAGCTTGTAAATAAAGCAGAGAATCATGCAACTAATCTCATAACTAATTTAATTGCATAATAAAATGTCTACCATTTTATATTAGAAATAAACATATGCATAAAATAGAAATCCACAGCCAAAATGAAGATGGTTTGTTATTTGGGTTCCATAGTTTACACAACACATATACACGAAAAACATTTAAAGACTGCCACATACCTTTGCCAGTGTCTCATCATCTAGATGGTTCTTCTGAATCACATGCTGAAGTGCAAAATAAATTCTCTCTTGAAGCTTTTGGACTTCCTTGGTTCTATCAGCCATGGTCGATCTAATGTAATACATTAAATACATAAAGAATAAATTATTGGGTCACATACATAAAATTCAGTATAGAGCAGCATAAGTGCAACAAAGGTATTACGCTTTCTGCTGAATACTGGACCATGACCTGTTGATCTAAGATGGTTTTAAATCCTTCGGTTTCAATCTGAACTAAAGAAGGAAATATGTTTCTGCATATTCAAAACACTTTTAATATTGTGTAAAAATGTATTCAAACATAATATGGTGTTGTTTTGTGTTTAACATGATATCCATGCTCTATTTTCAATACGTTTCTACTATATACACATCGGCAGCCTCTACAGTATGTTCCTCTTCAAGGAATAACTAAAATCTTAAAGTGATTCTAAAAATTGAAATGATAAAAAAAGAATGTTATACTTACCTGATTTGTGTAAAGGTTTTGCACAGAACAGCCCCAATCCCCCTCTTCTGGGGTCCCTCCGCAGGCAATCCTGGCTCTTACCTCCTGCCAAGTGCCACAATAGCAAGCCTCTAGTTTTGGGGGCATTCTAACAGACGTGCTCCCAAGCTGCACATTGTCCATTCACAAACAGAGTGCAGCTTGCCCCCCCAATCTCTCCTCATAGGCTCACTGCCTGTGATTGACTGCAGAAAGATCTAATGGCTCCCTCTGCTATGTGAGTCAATGAGGAGGCAGAGACCTGGGAAATCCAGTGCTCTCATGCTGGATTGAGATGGGGCCCAGGTAAATATAAGAGGGGCTGGGGGGGATCTGCACCCAAAAGTCTTTTTACCTTAATGCATAGAATGCATTAAGTTAAATAGCCTTCTGCCTTTAGAGCCACTTTAAAGAGTGAAAACAACATATGATTTGCGTCTGGTGGGAATATTCAGTGTGTTTCTTTATGATACTGTACTTTTTGTCATAAAGATGGCCTCTCAAATAGCCAGGAAGGGGATGTGCATTTTTAGTTTAACTAAAAAATATAATAAAAAAGAAGGAAAGAATTCTGCATCTGTGGATATTTTTTTTTTATTAGTAGTAATTATAGGCAAAATAAATGCATACAGAAAAGGACACTCTAACAAAAGCGGTTCTATCCATAGTGGGCTGCCTCTAAAAAAAGGGGTTGATGTAGGCTTGATTTAAGACAGGGTTGGCTATCCACAGTAACAGCCAAATTTACAAGACAGGAGTCAAGTTAGCTTCTGACTATTCATATCATGTGGCAGTGAATAGAAATAGTTGCATGTACAAATGCAGCCCTCTAACTATTTACTTTTTCCCATTCTAACAATAGCTGGGAGAATAACTGGTGCATTAGAAAGTCAGCTAAGGTACATACATATGGTAAACATCTCCAGAAAAGGTCTAAGACAAGATAATATTCATGAGTATCTTTGGATTGCACAAGTTCTTGTTTCTAGAAAAGAAAATCTTTTTTAGCTACCCTAACTGAAAATGCACTGTGACATTGTATGGTTAAACAATTTAATTATAACATTTTTCCTAGAAAGATTCCCCTTTACTAGTTATCTCTAATGCTTTCTAGTTAGCAAAAGAAAACAAAATTTGGAACAAAGATCAAGGGTATAACTACAGGGGGCTCCAGGTCCCGACACTATGATTGCCACTGGACAATGCTGAGGTCTTCCAATCACAGTGAACCCAAAATTAAACACAGCTAGTGTTTACATTATAGATTCCACTCCTGGCACCGAATCCTCCCAAAACGTTCGTTTTTGAAGTCAGTGCTTCCCTTGCCTGGTCCTGTATGTAAACATGCTCCCACTGATCACCAATGAAAGGGGGCACATTGACCATGCTATCCAGCAAAGGGGCACACCAGTGCTGACAATTTCTCTCCTCCAAATGACCATAGACACCAGTCCTCTTTTCCTTCTGTTAAGCAGCAATATAGAGGGCACAACAACATCTGCGCACCATACATTCAGTTTTATGTAACAAAATGTTTACGTACAACATTACATTCTCCTAACCAAAGTGTTTCTTGTCTCCAACAGTTGCTGGTAAGTAGTTACTGACTATTTTATTAAAGTTCTTCTTTAAAGTAGGCTCAAACAAAGTGTTAGTTGTTTGTCAATATTATGATTTATTTTTAAAGTTTGGGTTTTTATGTGTCTGTGAAACTCTCATGTGTGCCACAGTAGTTAAAGAAAATCTATATTCACAGCACTATATTCATTTTATAACATTAGCAATGCAAACAATAGTTATTTTTTTGACAATCCAATATAAGCTTATTTGAAAAATCTCTTTTCATGTTCTGGGTTCTGCCTGTCTGCTGGCAGCAACTTTCTAGATTCCCTGCCTGCTTTGCAGCTTCTCCTCTGCTATTTACTTTCAATTTCTAAGGACTACATGTCCCATGGCACCTTGTTTCCTGCAAGCTATGATTCCTGTACTAACTCCGCCTCCTGAAACTTCTCTTCTTAGCACCTTAGCTTCTTAGTTCAGAAGGCAGGCTCTATGAATTCTGTGACACAACAGTGCTTATCAACAGGGCATAGTGATTATGTGTCACAGAATTCAAGGAAGACAATGTGTGGGGATCTTCACAGAGCAAATTTACTAACTTCAAGAACATTCAGATTAGTAGGAGCAGACTAGAAATAACTGAAACGCAATGTGGAATTGAATATATGCTATTACATTTTGACCGCTTTAAGGTAGGGGTGTCAAACTAGTGGCCCTCCAGCTGTTGCCAAACTACAAGTCCAATGAGTCATTGCAAGGCTGACAGTTACAAGCATGACTCCCAACCCACCACAAAAATATTTATATTATCCAAGTTATTTAAATTGCCTGTGTAGTCCGCATTAGGGCAATTACTCTTGGCCATGACTGCAGTTTTTAGAACATGAAAAACATGACCAAACTACAATAAGCTGTAAAACAAACCAGGATCATAGGATAGAAAAGTGATTTAATGCATGTGATTGAGCACTGCAGTGCTAAGCATTTTAGTAGCAATCTAACCTTTTGATAATAGCGTACAGTATATGCAGAATATATACAGTGTATTTTTGCCTCACTGAGCTGACAAACTCTGATTAGCATGGGAAGTTAACAGAGTTGCTGAGAAGAAGAACCTTTTCCTTTAAAAGAGGGAAGAGGGTTGGAAGAGAATGAACTATAATGTGTGTTAAATGCATATGTGTAACACCTTCCAAAACAAGTGCTAACATATCAACAGTTATATAAAAATAAACCATTTTCTAATCTAGGCACATTCTCTGGAAAAAAAAAGGAAAGGTAAGCCACATGCATAAATAGACAATATTTGCTAATAACATGATAATTAGTACCTGGTGATATTAATACGGCTGCAGAAAACAAGGCAATTTCCTCTTCTGTTAGCTGGAGGGAACATAAACTCTTTGCAAAGTCAAATGCTTCATTCACGAAATCATCAGAACCTGTAGGCCAAAGAAAGCAGTATGAGAGGGCGAAGCTAATCATTGTGCAGTTCTGTTCACAACACAGCTTGCCATCATGTCGCAAAAAACAGGTGCAAGTAGGAAATAGTATTTTGGTTAGTTAAAATCTCCAATTTTCAATCGGCATCATGCGGAGAGAAAGGGAAAAAAAGGACTAGATCTAATTGGGTTTTAAAATAGATTTTTTTTTTAAAATGTGTATATTACTGTTTTACCAGAGGTTATATTATCTCATGGAAGTGCAGCTTAATTTAGCTTTGCTTTTATTTCAGTGTAATTGACTGAATAATTGAAATGATATTTAGTATGATAATAATGCAGATAGGACCTGCAAAAGGCTTTTCATGATCTGCTAAGAAAAGCTGAAAGTGCAAATACAGAATTCTATTGTTCATCATGAAACCCTGAGGATGATGTTTAATAGCTTACAGGCAAAAATATGCACTATACTGGCCAATGTTATACCAGAATTACAATTCTTTACTTTTTTTGGATACAAGTATCTATTGCAACAATAATGAAGACATGTACATATATGCAATTATCAGAACAGCTTGAAGGTGAAATCTATAGAGACCACAAACTCAAGCAAGCACACAGAACACTTTTTATCAAGTATAATCTCCTTCAGTTAAAGCATGTCTCTGGGTGTAAAGTTCCACAGAAAGAGAGCATACTAGATACCTTACTAATTACACTAACACACTTCATGGTGCTAAATGCAGAACACTTTTTACCTTAAGGCACTAACTGCATTACGGTAAAAAAAAAATTTTCCAAAGGAAGCATCACCCCTTCACCCCCCACACTGGAGTGATGAGTATGCTACCTCTTTTCTTGCAGAGAACATTGATCTGGATCATTTTAAGCTTACGTGGTAATTTCAAAGCACTATTATACTATTAGTTATTATAAATTAGTACTTCAGAGGTCAGTACTCAGCTCTGATCAAAAACAGCACAGTGCAACAAGTTAGATGTGGAAGGTATAGACTTGTACTGAATAAAGATTGGACCTCACTGTACACATCATGATTCTTCCATTGATGGGGTATACTTCATTGTATCTCTTCAGTGATGATATGTATGTAGAAGTGACCCTACCTTCTTCAGTACAACACTATACCTGCTTCATCTGATTGCTGCTCCTTACATACAAGGCTAACAGTAAGATGCATTGTAGTGCAATACAGGCACATTATAAACACATATATAACCAAAAGGTGACAGCTACATATTCATCTGATCAATTTTAGTGGTAAAGTAAGGCAAAACGTTCTTTTTAGTTCTGGACAGAGTGGAGATGGATTAGGACACCTGGTTTTTATTGCAGTCTGTGCTCCCATTAGGTAGATTCACCCTCTCTATTTGTCCTGTTTATCATTATCATTGAAAGTGAAAGTAAAAGAAACCCCAATATATATATTTACCACTGCTCAAGGTAGAGAGACTTTTAATCTCCAAGAGCAACTCCTCCTGTAGGTGCTAGCCTAGCTCATGTGCTGCATAGATGAGAACAAAGGACGTCCGATCAGCTGTACTCCAAACAATCCACTTTATTGAACCAAGATAAAACCAATACAGACAGTGGAAATACAGTGGGGGACTAGCATTTAAACACGTTTCACGCTAAAGACAGCGCTTATTCATTACCCACCCAAAGTTTGGGTTGTTCCCCATTTTCCTGTGGGGACACTAGTTTTGGTGACCTGGGAGGTTCCCCAAGGAGTTTACAGGGATTTTCTCTCACTTTCTGTTTTGGCTATGGAACAGGAAGTAAAGGTAAATTTCTCCAATGGGACACAGATGGAAAAAATAAACTGATATGGGTTATAACCCTCCCTTCCTCTATCCAAAATGTAAAAACGTTTTGCCTATAAATCTAATATCAATACAACAAATAGAATAAAACAAATACCTAATGTTTTGAACATCTGCATCCCTCCATATTTTCCTTCAAATAGAACAGTGTTGTTTAATGGATTGAAGGCACGACACATTCTTACTAGAACAACTTCTAGGCAGCCTGTCAAAAAGAACACATAAAGCACATGGGAAGTAAGAAGGCACCATAATGGGAACAACAAATATGCTTTCCGTTATTTAGTAATAATGCTACAAATGATAATCAGAACATTATTATTTTGCTATCATATATGTGCATGAATTTAAATGCCATTGTATTAGGGTTTGTGCTTGAAAAAACAAATGTTGTATATACAGTATATATATATATTGTAACACAAGGAGTAAAAAAGGATTTAATTCATAAAAATTAATTATCAGAATCTCTTTCAATAATAATGACTTGATTTTTAATGAACTGTGTAATTTTCGTTTTATATTTAAACCTAGCATGAAATTGTGCCACTACATATGGTACAAAATAATGTAACAGAAACGCTGCTTGAGTCCTCAGGGGATGTAGGTCTGTAAGATATCACAGGGTCTCATTTATGAATGTTTGAGGGAAAACTTGTGTCTCTGATAGTTTGTGTTGCCCCACGGCACCCAATAACATTTTCTATCCCCATCAAAATTTGTTGCTATGGTGTAACATGGCCTGTCTAAGACATTTTGGCTGATATTGTCGCTAGAAGTGGCCAGCACATATTGATTACCCCGACTAAGCTCCTTTGGGATGTATAGCCATGTCTACTTTTGTTAACCTTGGCTTGATTTTTGTTTTGTTTTGTGGCAGGTTTTTGTTTACAGTGAACCTGTCACCACAGGATAGTCTTTACTCAAAGAACACTCTGTAAAAGATAAAAGTCTATACTTATCCCCAGCAGCCTGTATGTTGACTGCCATCTCTTTGCTTCTCCTTCTGCATGTATTCTATACTTCCTCTTGTGTGGAATACCTTCTACCTAGCCACATGCAGTGGCTCCTCCTGCTGACTCATACATCACAGAAAGGTAAGTACAGAGGCTAGTCTTTTAACAGAATGTACTTTGAGAAAAAAGTGCTCTGTGGTGACATGGTTTATTTAAAAATATGAGAGCAACTGTAGTTATTAGTGATGGGAAATACTGTCTCACATTGTCTTGAGTTTTCCAAAGTTCTGTGCAGTAGTTCTGTACATTTAACTAAACTACTGGTTTGCAAGATTTCACAGCGACATAATATACAACTATTGTCATGACCTGGATCTGAACCTGCAACCTCTGCTTTGTCTGTCTCCTCTTGCGGAATCACCTTTTGCCTTGTAACTTGTTTCTCTTGAACCTTGAATCCTTTGCTTCTCCTTTGACCTTCCTATTTTAGCCATGCCTTTGCACTTTGTATTTTCCAGATTAGTGCTCTTTCCAGCCAGTATCTCGCTTTGTCTCTCTGCTGCCATCTGTATCTTACTACCACTGGTTACCAACTTTTGGCCTGTACCTCTTATGCTTCTGCTTGATCCTAACCTGTGACCACTTGTTACTGACCTTTGGCTTGTTTACTGACTACGCTTCTACTTTATCCCTACCTGCTATATCTGCTACCGGACCACAGCTAGCTCACCTCCTGGAAGGACAATCCTGAGGACTGCAATCTGGTATTAAGACGCAGCAAAAACCAATCTCCACCATCAAGAGCTCTGGTTAACACCAATTAATACCTAGACTACGCACTTCAGGTGAGCCTGTGTCACCTGAAGTGCGTAGTCTAGGTACTAATTGGTGTTGCTGCACTCACCCAGCTGGTTGGTGGGAGCCTCTCTACTGCTATAGCTACTGGTCTCTGAGCCACACCCCTGACCATGATGACAACTATTCTCTAAGAACTTGAATGTCCAGCAGATATTTGTTGATGTTTAACAACAAGAAGTACATACAAAAATGCCAATCATACAATGATAAATTAACTCTTGTTATATACTTTGTTAATATTCTAATTTGAAATATATATTAAAAATGAGTGATATGGAATTAGCTTTTTGTATAAAAGAAACATGCCATGTCCAGAAACAGCTGCTGTAATTATGAATATGAATTATGGCCAAGTACTGTGCTGCTTGCAATATTAATGGTATATGCAGAAGAGCACGTTTCATTATTGCTACACGCTGTTTAAAGTTCTCTGGAGATCAGAAGATGACTTTTTTTAAAAAAAAGAAGCATTTCATTTACCCTATCCAGTCAGTGGTTGTTTTACAGATTGTCCTGTGCATGTTTTCATTCAGATATTAGCACTTTATCATAACCTGCTTCTATCCATTCCTATAGGAGTAATCTTAAAATAAAAAAACAGACATTGCCTTGGTTTCGCTTATATGATTTTGTACTGTAATTCTAGCATAAAGTTCAATGTCTGTGTTATTTAAAATTCAAGGCAAAATATTTTTAAATGTGGAATTTGTGACTTTTGCCTTTGGTTCATTGGAAGAGAGATCAAATATTTAGTGAATACAGTAAAAAAATTAGACATCTGTTAGCTTAAAATGTTGACAAATGAGAACAATACAATAAAAACCAAACTTCATATGGTGGTTAGTTGTTGATACTGTATATATATGGGTTGCTGATACGTTTTTCAAAGGAAAGATCTTTCTACAAATGTTTTGCATTGTGGGAAAGTCAGTGTTTGACATTTTTCCCCATCTTATTCAAAAATAAAAAAAAATATATTACATCCAAAGTTAGACTTTAAGGTAGAACATAGTTTCCCTTATCTTGCTTCCTACTGTTTGATTCCATAGCAGTACAGTACATCTATTGAAATGTTACTTTTTGGGAAGCTAACCTGGAGTCTACTTATCTGTAAAATACTGCTAATACAAGACATCAACATTTTCATCTGCTTACCTGACTTAAGTAACAATATTTGATCATTCTGGCACAGCTCCATAAAGCCTGTTATTCGCTTTGCAAACTCCACCACATACTGTATTGCATGAGTGATCTGAATGGCACACTGCTGCCACAAAGCTTCTCTGGACTGTAAAATACACAAATGTGAAAGAACATCAATCAATCTGTTAACCAGTTGTATATGACATCATTGCTGTATTTTCAGTGAGCATGGATTTTGCTTTTTTATTGTAATACAAAGTATTAAAAATATTTCAATGTAACTTTTTGTTTTTTTCCCCCACATGCTAGATGCACATATTTTAAAATAATAATATAAATAATTTATTTAATAATGAATAATTATTGCATTGCATACTCCAGTTTGTAGATTTGGACTCAACTTGCAGTCTGTATTATACATCATTCACTTCATAACTCCCCACCTCAAGCTCATTTACATATAGAAAATGATTGTTTTCGACCTGGTAAACAATTTTAGAAGTAAACAGTAAGGTACAACCATTCTTCATCACTCCTAAAGAGGAAGTAAATATGCAATGTTTAATTTTGTGTTTGTGTATTTGTATGTAAAAGAGATCAGCTTTATGTAAATGACTCAGACAGTGCTTAGGGCAGTAGGAGGTCAACAATTAACCCTCTTATGACATGTTTACTATAAAGCCCAACTACATGATGATACTGTATCAATGTTATTCTCTGCATTTGTTCAGGGTGCTGTGAACATGCTCCTCAAGGGAATGGACCTACAATTTTCTTTTAAAACAAATACAAACACCACATCAGCACTAAAGTAAGATGAGACACGAAAGCCTGGTACACACTATGAGTTTTGTGGGCTGGTCAAAAAAAAACTGAGGAGCTCAGGAGATGCTTTCTGTACTAACTATGCAATGTTCATCCCTCCACTGAGCAGATACCAGCCATTGACTGCGAGCGCTGATCAGACGCCAATCAGCAGATGTTTTTCCAGCATGCCCATTCGACAGAAGCCGGATGTTTGGTCGGCTTCTGTTGGACATGCTGCTCTACACACTGGCTGAATGTTGGCTGGTTTCTGTTGAACCAGTGCCAGCTGATATTGGGCCCCTGTGTACCAGGCATTGAAGACACATGGAGCAGTCATGGAACAGAAGGACTTGATGGTTTCACACTCCAATGCAGAGCCCGGGTAAACTTCAGGCTCTGCTGCCCCCTTATCAGACTGGGGAAATCTTTGATTCTAAATAACAACATAACAAGAAGGGCGCACCAACTTTGTGTGTTACATTTTTTTTTATAAAAGGAATGCAATTATACACAAGATATATATATATATATATATACACACACAAGAGCTCTGGGGAAGAGGGTATAACCCTATATACGTGCTAGCCCTTGGAGTGTTGTCCGGGTTCTCTTAATGAACAACCAGATTCTTGATGTACTCAGGGTCTATTGTTTAAGTCATTGTACAAGCGTATGACTATATGGCTCTTGTGAGTAAAATTATATGAGCACTCTGTACTGAGCACTTCTGTGTTCATGAATAATTGCTGAGGCTGCAGAGGAGAAGGAGTTTGAGGAGGGTATGTTCTCAATCTCTTTGTTTATATCAAAGTACAAAATGTGTGTGTGGAAATTTTCCAAAAGCCTCCAGTACTTAAAAAAAAAAATAATAAAAAAGAACCCCCCCCCCCCGCGCACACACACACAAAAATTACACACATCCACACATAACATACACATGTGGACTACACACAATGTAGTAATGCACATTTCATGTATTGGTACACTGCAGGACCCATTCACACCAACAAGTGTGCATTAAAGTGTACATTGTGCACATATCCTGAAGTATGCATTGCAGTGCTTACTGTTTTAAACTTTGTAAAATTATACTCACTCAGCTATATGCATGGCAGTGCATTGCAATGCGTTGGCAAATTATATGCCTGCATCATTTTATTGCAAAAATCAATGCATCTTACACATGGAACAGCCATTACCACAGTTACCACAACACATAAGCAACTTCCAGATTTTTAACATAAGTTTCTTATTTAACCCCAAAAACAAACAAATATCGTTTGATAAATATCCGAGCAAATATCATGGGATCTACAAAATCAGCAGCACTATCTATTTATTTTATCAGTCTTGTACTCTCAGAGAATGTTACAGTGGTAAGAAAAAGAATGTGGACCCCTTGGAATTACCTGGTTTTCTGCTGTACTGTGCCATAAAATTTGATCTGAACCTCATCAAGGTCACAAAAATAGACAAACACAATGTGCTGATAGCACCCAAGCAGTTCTAATTTCTTGTGTCTTTATTGAACATACCCAATAAACATGCACAGTGCTGGAGGAAAAAGTAAGTGAACCCATAGACTAATCACTTCAACAAAAGCTAATTGGAGTCAGTAGTTTGCACACCTGGAGTCCAATTATGGAAATTACTTTGGAGGTGTAGTTTAGAGCTTCTTTGTTTGATAAAAGACACTCAAATATTTTAAGATCACATTCGCTGATGTGAACCATGCTTTGCAAAAAAGGAAATCTGAAGACATAAGATCAAGAATAATGGATTTGCTTAAGTCTGAAAAGGGATACAAAGCATCCTCCATGTGTTTAGGCATTCATCAGTCAAAGTTAGACAAACTGTCCATAAATGCAGACAGTTTGGCACTGTGGCTACTCCTCCTAGAATTGACTTCCAAGGCACAACACAGAATCCTCAATGAGGTAAAAAAGCCACGAGTAACAGTTAAAAGCTTAAAGACCTCACTGGAACTGGCAAAAATCCATGTCCATAAGTCTACCATATGTGAATCTTTGAACAGGCAGAGTGTCCATGGCAGAACACCACCGAGGAAGCCGCTGCTCTCCAAAAAAACATTGCTGCATACCTGAAGGTTATCAAAAAGCACCTTGGAAAAACTGCAAAACTACTTGGAAAATGCTTTGTGGACTGATGAAACAAATGTTGAATTGTTTTGGAAGAATACTCAGCACTATGTATGGCACAAAAAGGGCAAAGCTTGCTAACCTCAAACATCATCCCAACAGTGAAGTATAGTGGAGGGAACATTATGATTTGTGCTTACTTTGCTGATTCAGATCCTAGACCACTTGCCATCAATGAGGGTAAAATGAATTTCTCAAGTTTACCAAAATATCCTACATGGTGGCTGTCCACTAGCTGAAGCTCAGTAGATGCTGGGTGATGCTGGAGGACAATTATGCTGTAAAATGACCTCAAGAGAGGTGTTCACACCAGACATCCTACAAATGTGTCTGAGCTGAAGCAGTCATATAAAGAGGAATGATCAAAAATTCACCCTGAACGTTATGCTTGCTTGAAGTCATTGCTGCCAAAGAAGGTTTGTCTATCTATTAACTCCAAGGGTTCACTTTTTCTTCCAGCTCTGTGAATGTTTAATGGGAGTGTTTAATACAGACACAAGAAATTAGAATTGTTTGTGTGTTATCAGTTTAAGCACAATGGGTTTGTGTATTGTTGTAACTTAGATGAGAATCAGATCACATTTTTTGGCACACTTTGTTTGCCATTACCACTGCATGTTCTGGTGGGTTTTTGCACACTCTAAAAGCTGTAGTAAAAAGCTGTCTGGCCCCCTAAAGGTTAAAAGTGGAGCACAGAGCCTGGCAGAGAAAGGGGTATTGCACATTTATCTACAAAATTGTGCTGTTAATCATCTTTGTCTGTATCTATCTACTTCTCCTACTTCACAAACAACCTGCTTTTTAGATTTTATTTGAAAATAATACTGTATTTCAACTGTAGCATTTGTTACATGAATGTATACAATATAATGTATTGATTACAATAAAATGTATTGATTTCCTTACATATCTTTATGTGAAGCTTGTATCTTTTATGTTGTGTGTAAATTATGGGATTTCAGAGTTACATCACTAATGATTGCCAAAGGGCCAACTTTTCACAGTTCTTGCATTTCCTGACCTGACTTGTGAATGTTCTTTAATTCAGTGAATGTGCAGGTAAATCCTTAGAGAATGTTTGAGTTGTAAATACAGTGAATGAAAGATCACTGACTGTGTATTGAATGTCACACCACCTATTTAGTAGCATTGCGCAATGCAGTATATTTGTATTTCTCTTGTTTCACTGCAAATCTACATGACAGTGTTAACTCTCGCTAGTTTGTAATGACATAACATACCCACAATACTCCTTGTTTATGTATAGCAAAAAAGAGGTAGTTTTTGTAATATTACATTGACATTTACTGACCCTACTGAGTTATGTGTAGTGTAAATTTTAATGACAGATTCACTTTAAACTGATCAATTTTGCATGTACAGTGTACCCAAAAATATAATAAAGTCTATCACTTTATTTTGTGCATAAGTGCTTATTTGTAGCATAGCTAACAGTAATTCAGAGTTTAAAAACCCATCAGTAGCTATTATTGTACTATATGCTACTGTACAGGTAACCTCAGTTTATTACTATCTTTTTAAATGGAAACTATACATTAGATAATATGTTCTTCCATTTGACTGTTTGCCAGGAAAAATAAATTGTTAAATTGTGACTGGGATGTTATTTTTATTTTACACTTGCATGTAAATAATGCACACATGTTAAATGCCCATTTACTTTATTAGTTAAACCCCAAAACATTATACATTTTCTGAAAACAGCGACCCCAGAGGATAAAATGATGGTAGTTGCAATTTTTTATGTCTCATGGTATCAGACACATATTTTCAGTAAAAAATACACTAAACTTAATTATAGTGTACACAAACACAAAATTTGGTAAAGTGTAAAATATGAGTTTACGTTGAGTAAATAGATACCCAACATGCCAAGCTTTAAATTTGCATGCATGAGTGAAACAACAGCAAACTTTGGTACTCAAAATTGTCCATAGGGGACACTTCAAAATCCTTTACAGGTAATCAGGCTAGAATTACCTGTGTATAATGGCCCTTGAATTATTGCTCTCACTATCGAGTACAGCAATATGTAAAATGTGCAGCGAATATGTTGTTTTTTATTTTATTACAGGTACCTAGAAAGTGCTGTCAATTTTGCACACAACTTTGCATATATACTGTATATTACATTCACATCAGTCCCTGCCCTCAAGGAGCTTACAATCTAAGGTCCAAGCCAAGTAACCTACCAGCATTGTCTTTGGAGTGTGTGAGGAAACCAGAGTACCTGGAGGAAACCCACCCAGGTACAGGGGGAACATGCAAATTGCACACAGGTAGTGCCGTGGTTGTGATTCAAACAGGACAACCCTAGTGATTGCTAGGCTGTTACGTTTCATTTTTTTTTTTTTTTTTTTATTAGCTCCATTAACTGCTTTTCAGCAGCCAGGGAATTACAGCTCTGAACCAGGAAGTGATGTAATACAAATCACTTTAAATACATAGTAGACCTCTATGGTCCCCTAGATGGCCTTTGCTGAAGTCTGTGTGCCATTTTTTTTAAGAAGCCCGCAATGAAACTTCATTTGCTGTAGCACATCCTTCAACAAACATAAAAACATGTGTCATCCCCAAATGCATACCAGAAATGGTGAGTATGGACAGAGGAGGATCCTAAAAGAAGAGGCATCAGCACAAAGGACATATTTTTGATTGTAAGTTGCAACCCTTGTGCTGACTTTTCTGTTCTTTTACTTTTTCTCTTAGGCTTTAATTAAATTATATCTCTACTGTGCGCTAACCCTTCATTCAACCAAACTCTGCACATAACATGGTGGAACCATACCTGCTGAACACTAAATCACTGATCTATCTTTGATGTCTGCCAAATGTTAACAAATTAATGAGCAATTTTAGGGAACAACTGTGTATAAAACCGAAAGTCCATGCAATTTACATTTAACTGACTTCTGTGTAAAGACCAACTACTGTAATAGGGTAATCTCAAATGTATATCCAGTCGCATTCAAAGGTAGGTAAAAATTTGATTGATGGTTGTCAGAAACATCTAAGTACCAATGTTTATATATATATATATATATATATATATATATATATATATATATATATATATTTTTTTTTTTTTTTTTTTTACATCAGGTATTCTGTATGTGTGAAGAACCTGCTGTGGGTGTGTTAAGGAATACCTCTTCTGTATCACAGGCAGGGTTTCTTGGAGCACCAGCTTACCAATTAAAGGAACTAGGTGGACTGGAGCATTATGGCAATGCCTGAATGAAAAAGTGAAGCACTTAGCAGGTAACCTATGCTCCCTTTAGGGATTCATTTTTTAATTTTGACTACAGTGTTCCTTTAATAAAGAAGAGCTATCTAATTTCCATAGGCGATTATCTTTAAGCAATGATGGTTATAATAACAATAACACTATAACCTTAATTTATTGCTTAATTTGTATAAATTGTGCTAATGTCCCAGTGATTCACCAACTGGGATATCAAAATTATTCACACTGAACCACCACAATTAGATGATTATTGAACCTTTATGTTAAGTACCAAACTAATGCTATTAGCAGAATTATGAATCATTACAGCCTCAAGTCACAGTATACGCAATGTCTTTTGGGACATGTGCTCCCTGTTCAGTGGCACTCCTCAGTGATGCTTTAAGTGCCCCTGTCCACCCATCAAGAGGAAATAGCAAGAATAAGATCAAAGCAGTGACCTGGCTACAACTTTAGAATCAGTTTAAAGGCCTGTTTACACTGCCTGCACACTAAACCAAGGTGGTACAGCAGTGCGGTGACATCCAGTGCTCTTCCATAAAATGTCTGAATTTTATCACAGCTCATTGTGCTGCAGCTCTGGGCTGGATTGCAGCATGAATGGGCGCATAGAAAAATTGTTTTCTTCTAGTGTGGAAAATGCCTAAGGGTCTGTTCCTGAGGTCATTCCAAATTCCCTGACAGGTGCATATGACTTGCAGTTGACCTCCTCCTGACCTGTATTTAGCCTGTTTCAAGCAGTTTCTGCATTCTCATGAACTTGTATGTAACACAGGCCTAGAAGGTAGTAGTTCTTTTGTTTTAAAAATCATTTAAAGTGAATTCATTAAGTATTCAGAACCTCTTCACTATTTCAGTTTTGTTTAAATTTTGTTATGTTGCAGCCTGATACTACAATTGTTTAAATTTTTTTTTTTTCTCATTAATCTGCACTTAGTACCCCATAATGAGAAATGTTTGCAAATGTATGAAAAAGGAAAAACTGAAATATCACATTGGCATAAGTATTCAGATCCTTTGCAACAACACTTGACATTTAGCTCTGGTGCCTCCCATTTCTCTTGATCATTGCTGAGATGTGTCTACACCTTGACTGGAGTCCACCTGTGGAAAATTAAATTAATCGGACATGATTTGGAAAGAAACACACCTCTCTATAAAAGGCCTCACAACTGACAATGCATACTGTATCAGAACAAAAGCCATGAGGTCAAAGAAACTGCCTGCAGAGCTCAGAGACAGGAGTATTGCAAGGCACAGATCTGGGGAAGACTACAAAATGGCCTCTCCTCAGTGCAAAACACATGAAAGCCCGCTTGGAGTTTGCCAAAAGGCCCCCGAAGAAACTTTCAGACTGTGAGTAACAAGATTCTTTGGTCTGATGAACCCAAGATTGAATTGTTTGGCCTCAATTCTAAACATTATGTCTGAAGAAAACCAGGCACCACTCATCACCTGCCCAATACCATTCCAACAGTGAAGCATGATGGTGGCAGCATCATGTCGTGAGGGTGTTTTTCAGCAGCAGGGATTAGGAGACTGGCAAGGGCTGAGGGAAAGCTGAATGGAGCAAAGCACAGAGATATCCTCAATGGAAACCTGTTCCACAGCACACTGGACCTCAGACTGGACTGAAGGTTCACCTTCCAACATGACAACGATCCTAAGCACACAGCCAAGACAGCACAGGAGTGGCTTAGGGACAACTCTCTGAATGTTCCGGAGTGGCCCAGTCAGAAACCCTGACTTAAACCCTATTGAACATCTCTGGAGAGACCTGAAAAATGGCTGTCCACCAAGGATCCCCATTCAACCCAACTGAGCTTGAAAGGATTTGTAAAGAAGAATGACAGAAAATCATCCAATCCACGTGTGCAAAGCACATAGCCAAAAAAACTCAAGGCTGTAATTGCTGACAAAGGTGCTTCAACAAAGTACTGCGTAAAGAACCTGAATACTTAAGTACACTTGATATTTCAGTTTTTGCTTTTTAATATATTCACAGACATTTCTAAAATTATGTTTTCACTATGGAGTACCATAGTGTAGAGTGTAGAGTAATGAGGAAAAAATGAATTTAAAAACTGTAGTATCAGGCTGCAACATAACAACATTGAAAAAGTGAATGGATCTGAATACTTTATGAATGCACCATACATGCAGTGACAAGGAGAATGGGAGGAATGGATTGGCGACTGAACTTCTGTCAGAAAATATATGTAATCAAAACTTTTTTTAGTTTTGAATAAAGACTTATAACCTGTCAGACTTTTTTTAGTGAGGAAATCTCTACAAATACAATACAATAAAAAAATATTTACCCTCACTTTTTGTTCTAGTGACAACTTTTAAAATGTTGGATTTCCCATAACTTCCCCATCACCATGATAAACAGCAAGGGTGATCTAACCTACCCAGGACACAGACAGCAATAAAGTCTGACAAGGGGCTAATCCTTCCCTTCTCTAACCAAAGCTGAAAAAAAGGTTTTGGCTATACATACACTTTATACTGATATTTGAAAACTTAAGATGGGTTAGTTGTTGCATTACCACACATTGCCCATTAGGTTTGTTAAATAAAACCAAATGTCTCCAAAATGATGTGACTTCTTAAATAGTAATGACAATAGACTCTGCAGATATGTTTTAACAGACTATACAATAAAGAGTGGAAAAACAGGAAACAGTATTAGCTAGTGATTTTTTTTTTGTTGTAGTTAAATGGTGGAGTATAAAACCGCTCTATTTCTCAAACAACAGATCACAGGCCAATGGGGTGATTGCTTTCCTACAGATCCAGTAGGTACAGATTTCTATTTCAGTCTAGGCAATGCATTCTACAGAAGAAGCATACTGTACTGACCTTTACAGAAAGGGAACAAAGTTTCAGTAAATACATGCTTTTCAAGTCACAACATAAATTCTGCTGACTGTGGAATTCTGCTGCTGTGGTTATTTGCAATAAAATCAAATGTTAGCAAAAATAGTGCCCAGTGTGTATTTGCAATAAAAGTAAATTAAATGTTAACAAATATACTGCACATTGTTTATCTACTGTATATATTATGAATGTTCTGCATTGTCATGATGTTGGAAGAATTTGATGTCACCCAGGGTTCTTACACATGCAGATTGAGGGGCACCAGGGTGTTCATATCCAAAAAGCAGTCAGTCTGATTTCTGTTCACTGCTGTGTGATCAATGCAGGATGAATTGTGATTGGCTGCTCTGAGTTTCTTCTTACAGCAAAAATATAGACAAAGGAATATATAAAGCAAAGTAATTTCAGGTAGCTGAAATCAGGCTAAACTAAACTGCAGAAAATTGAAATCTCATTGAAAATGACTACAAGGGCATATCTTTTTTTTTCTTATGTATGCATCACATAAAGCACAAAGTAGCACAACAGAAAACATCAATTTATTGTACTTTACTAAATATATATCCTTCGAGAACAGTGCTTGTTACATAATTGGAGTAAAATTCATCATATTAATATTTATTGGCATCCTGTATTAAGAATATTAAAATATATTATAAAATACTGTTAGTGTTATGTATGGTTTATATATCAAAATGTAGGCAATTTCGTCAGAATATATGGTGGTCATTTATTAATGCTAAAGGTGTAGTAAACAACCATCAGGTGGCATTGCATGCTTCAGAATGCGAAAACCTTCAGTTTTAATATTATATACTATACCTTGCTCTGGTATACTTTGATCTCTTCATAACTGTGGGTCTGCCATGCTAATTGATGTAATTCATCCACTGTATATTGACATGTTTCCAGATGAGATTTTATGATATTTTGTGCAACTCGATCTGTGCGAGAGATACAAAGAAAAGAAATCAGTATGTAATATCTATCAAGAGATGTAGATTGACTGGAGATCCTTTAATTTGTAGGGGTAAATGCTGCATACAATGTCCACTTGTAGCTGGATGATGACCTTTTCATTACTCACTACATTACAGAGAAAGACAGATCAATCTTTAAACCTTTCCTTATTTCTCACACCATCAGAAGAACAGATCTGTCCATGACCATGGCTCTTCCACCTTGCCAATTTCCCAAATCTCAATCTATACAATTGTTGGGTTTTACAATAAATCTGGCCACAGGAGACTCGTTTTTTGTTTTTTTTTTTGATCAGTCAGACAGCTAAAAAAAAAAACACAAATAGATTACCCTATCCACACATGTAAGGTGGATGAAGAGATCCTCCCTGCTGTGCTATTGTATTCTGAGAGAAGGGACTCCTCCGCTGTCAGAATACACTGATCAGTGCTGCAGCCGATTGGCTGCAGGTGCTGATTGAATTAAAAAGTTTAATCATTCCTGTTTAAGAGAAGCTAGTCGTTAGATGGACTTCTATCTAACAAGAACACTTAGAGATGGATGGAAATTTCTACTCTTGTTAACCAGTTTAGGCTCTTCAGCTGGCACCAGACCCAGTAATGCTATTTCACTTAACAAAACCATAAATCAATCCCACATTTTAAAGCTTTGCTACATAAAAAAAGTCTCTCTTTTTTTTCAAACTGTTGCAGGTTTTATGATCTTTGCTTCCATTCCTACATATTACATAGACTTCTGCTGGTCAAAAATATTAGTCAATTGTTATGAATTATTCTGAAAAATGTCTTCAGACACTGACATGCAGGCATATATGCAAACATCCCTGGTTCTTAGTGATTTTCAGGGTTGAATTACCCTTTGAAATCTATTGGTTGTTTCCCAGAAGTATGAAAGGGCTCATGCACATAGTAATCCTCTGTGACCTTGTTGAATCCAGTGACAATCATTAATGTCTAAACCTAACATATTTTTCACATAGTATCAAAGCATTGTATAGCTAATTGCAAATACTATTCAATTACATCCGCAATACAGTATATATTAGCTTTTCTGTACTTAAAGTGTACCTCTCCTGGATGCTCAGTGACTATGTTAGTCTTTAAATCAATCCCTGCATCCCACAGAAGCAACTTGGATCTTGGGGTCAAGCGGTACATGAAGCCATGACCTCTCTTTATGTTAAAACTATGCCCTGTCACCCTCCAGGCAGAGTCAGCATCTTCCCTTAAACAAACAGCAAGCACATGCTTATAGAAATAACTGAAGTTTTCACATTTCATGCAAAAAACGTCAGCCTTTTGATCTTTTTCCCAATAATAACATTGGCCAGAAGTACCATTTTACCTATCAGGTTGGTAAAATAGAGGCCAGATGGAAACCAAAAGAATGTATCAAAAATTAATCTTTCTCCCGCCTGCAGTGTTAACATTATATTGTCAACATTTCAGAAGTGCTCAGTCCATTTTTCTCAAGGCATCTTGAGAAAGATGGACTGAGCTCCATTGAAACAATAACAATCAAACACTATTGCATTTATCTCTATCTATCTATCTATCTATCTATCTATCTATCTATCTCTATCTATCTATCTATCTATCTGTCTAACCTTTTTCTAAAACAGAGTGTGTTCAAATCCAGTACAATTAATGAGATGAGAGTGTTGATTTACTAAAGGAAAATAGGCTGTTCACTTTGCAAGTGAAGCTGCACTTTGCATAAGAAATCCTCAGAGTTTAGTGAAAGTGGTGGAATTTTACCTTGCGAAGAATACCCAATCATTTACAAGGATTTTGCTTGAACATGATTGGATAATGCAAGTCAGCAAAGCTTCATCGCATTCACTAAGGCTCTGGGGAAAATCCCCATACAAACTGAACAGTATATTTGTCTTTAGCAAATCAACCCTAAAATTTGCTCCACACAGTACACACAGGGTTATGCTATGTGAATGGGATAAATATCAAGTAGGAGTTTTTTTTTAATTAATTTTCCATATAAAATACATATTTCATCATTACTCTCATATACATACGAAACCATCAGGTACATCCGTTTCTATCTTTATTCCCATTACCCCCCACCACATATCTAATACCCCCCCCCACCCCGAAACCACCCTCCCCCCCAATAATAAAACCACCCACTCTGCATTTCTCCATTGCCTCTTTTCCTAAATAAGGGGTATTTTCACATATCCCTCTCTACTGCTTCATATATTTCACCTTGGGCACAAAATCTTCCCATTTTCCCCACCTCCTGTAATATAATCCCATCTTGTCTTCTTGCATATAATACAGTTTCTCCATCTTACATATCTGGTTCACTCTTTCTACCCAATTCTCTTCTCTCGGCACCTCTAAACTATGCCAAAACTTAGGTATCAGACCCTTTGCCGCATTCAGATAGTACCATATACCCGAATCCTTGTATTTGTTTACTGATAACTCTGTACTATGTAATAGACACAACTCTGGATCCAATCCTATCTTTATCCCAGAGATTATCCCAATTAAATGAACCATTGTCTCCCAATAACCTTGAATCTTTGGGCACTCCCACCATATGTAATATAACGTACCTATCTTTCCACACCCCCGCCAACACTCTAGTTTATTTTCCCCACTCACCTTATATTCAACGTTTGGTGCAATGTGCCATCTTGTTAAACACTTATAGTTTACCTCCACTTCCCTCATGCTTATATTCTCATGTGTTAGTCTATATATTTTTCTCTGTTTGTCTTCATCTATCTCTATTCCCAAATCCCTTTCCCATTTTACTATATACATTGGCTTTGTGTGTGTGTCTAACTCAGTGAGAATCTTATAAACTTTTGCCGTGCCCCGTTTCCCATCTCCACATGATTCCAACAACCTTTCAAACAAATTCCAATCCTTTCTCAATCTCAAAGGTTTCGGAAGACTCCCGACAAAGTGTTTTAATTGGTGATATCTCCACTCGTCTATCTTAATGAAAAGTTCCCTTTTGTCCTTTTTCAACTCCTTAAGTGTTCTCAATTCCTGCCCTTCCATAATATCTCTCAGTTGAATATCCTCCTTTTTAAACCACTTTCCTGTGCTTTCCTCCCTACCTGGAGGGAAATACTCCGTGTTTAATTGTGAATTAAAATCCCATTTCATAAACTTGTGCAGTTTATCCCAAAACTTTAAAACATTTAATGTATAAATACTCTTAGTATCTTTTAATCCTCTATATTGTGCTGGTACCCATATGATTTTACTCAAGTTAACTCCGCTTAATTCATTTTCAATCTTGACCCACTTTTTCTCCTCTGGATTGTGTGTCCAGACTTGCTAGAACTACTGCTTTATAATACCTTTTAAAATCTGGCACTCCCAATTCTCCCTTATCTTTATTTCTACTCAACAAATGATAAGATATTCTAGGTTTTTTACTTTTCCATATGTATCTTGTTAACATCTTTTTAATTACCTTAAAAAAAACCTCCAGAAGTTTAATTGGGATCATCTGGAATTTATATAGGATTTTAGGTACAATTACCATTTTTATCAGATTTATGCGCCCTATCCAAGACGGGTTACCTCCTCCCAATTTCTTTAGTTCCTCCTTAATCTCATTGAAAAGTGAGATATAGTTTGCTTTATACAAGTTTGTATATGAAGCAGTGAGTTTAACCCCTAGATATTTTATCTCTCCATCTTTCCATATAAAAGGGAATTCTTTTTGTATCTTTTCTTTTCCACTATTTGGAAGGTTTACATTTAAGATCTCAGTTTTTGTTGGGTTAATTTTCAAATTTGATAACTCCCCATAATCCTTTAAGCTCTTCATTAGATTTGGGAGTGTTATCCTAGGATTTCCCACATAGACCAACAGATCGTCCGCAAAGGCTGCCACTTTATGTTCAATTCCTCCTATCTGTATTCCTTTTATGTCCATATTTTTCCTAATTGTTGCCAGGAAAGGTTCCAATGACAATACATACAACAATGGGGACAGTGGGCATCCCTGTCTTGTTCCATTTGACATCCCCAATAGGTTCCGACCTCTCTCCGTTAACCAAAATAACCGCGGAGGGCTCTCTATACAATTTTCCTACCCACTCTCTTATTCTAACTCCCAATCCTAGAGTCTACAGAGTATCCATCATGAAGCTCCAATCTACTCTGTCGAATGCCTTTTCAGCATCGATTGAAAGTACCACCGCCGGAGTTTTCCCCTTCCTAGCTTTCTGGATAATCAACACAGTTCTCAACCCATTGTCTCTACCCTCCCTCCCTGGTACAAACCCCACCTGGTCCCCCTGGATCCATTCTGGAATTAAATCTTTCAACCTATTTGCTAAAACCTTTGCATATAACTTAGTGTTTATGTTCAAAAGTGAGATTGGTCTATAGCTAGAGCACTGAGAAGCATCCTTCCCTTCCTTTTGAATAAGCACCACATGGGCCTGTAAAGATTCTCTCCTCATCTCCATCTCCCCACCCAGGGCGTTCATATATTTCTTCAGTTTAGGTATTAACAATTCACTATATTTTTTATAGTACCTCACAGTATAACCATCTGGGCCTGGGCTTTTCCCGTCATGGTACTTTTTAATGCTATTTTTATTTCCTCCTGCATAATTTCTAAATCAAGGGAATTCAATTGATCTTCACTTAACTTTGATAGTCCTGCGTTTTTTAAATATACCATTCTTTTTACTCTACTCGCATTTCCACTTTTATTTACTAAATCCTGGGAAGTAATATTATACAGCTTGCTATAGTATTCCTTGAACACCTTGGTGATCTCTTTAGTAGAATAAACCATTTCTCCCTTGGGTTTTTTTATTTTTTCTATATAATTCCTGTTTTTCTTTTCCCTCAAGGTTCTCATCAAAAATTTTCCTGGTCTATCTCCCCATCTATACCTCTCACTTGCCACTTTATTAAAAACTCTTCTCTCCTCTTCCATCAGTATCTCTAGTTCTTCTTTCTTT